TTTGGTTCTCCGGCGGCAGACTGCGGTGCCGAAAGGATGACGGTCATCAGGTTGTCTTTATAGACCACAGTTAAGACCTAGATGTCTTCGGCTGACTCTTCGATCCCTGTTTACTCCTCAATATCGATAAACAATTTGGCATAGTTTACAGGACTCACATTGAAAATCTGAAATTTATGTTATGTTACTACTGGAACTTTTTGATTAATTCATTTCTATTGATTATTGCTTTCACATATTTTTTTTTCTTTTTAATGGGTTTTGTCTTATATTTTAATTTTTACATTATTTCAACTAATGTATCATATCCGGTCCAGGGTCTGCTCATCAAATTCTGACTTTATTTTCCCCAAGCCTAATCATGTCTAGCATAATTAATACCTGTCAAGTCAATTCCCAATCCCTCCCAGCCCACTATGATGAATTCCTTGAATACTTTACCCATCATTTTTACCATATCATTGCAATTTCCGAAACCTGGCTCAAGCCTTACATCCCTTCCACATCTGTTTCCCTTCATAACTACACACTAATCCGCCACAACCGGACGAGCTGGACTGGCGGAGGTGTAGCTTTGTATGTTCACGAATGCCTGAAGACCCGAATACTCCACTGGTCTCCTCCATCCAATCACCCACATGTAGAGTCCTTAATTGTTGAAATTTATTCATATTCAAACGCATCACCTTATATAATAACACTTCGCAGCTTAACACTGACCTTGAAGGTTCAGGAAACGATTTCGATGATGTTGAAACAAATTCCTCTACTCAATTAATTACAATAAGAAATTTTTTAGCCAAACATGCAACCTGTAATCACAACACCTGATAAACAATAAAAGAAAATGACAGTCAGATTTTCCTCTGAAAACCTACAAAGATATCTAAATATAGTGTTTTGGAACTTAAACAGCATTAATTCTATGATACATTCGATCTGTAAGGAAATAAGATCATTTCCTTCATTCCAAGAGTAGCGGATATTCAAATTTTCTGTTTTTCTGAAACGGTTTACTTGTGAACTGAGTCATGCCACCATTTCTGAATAACTTTAATTATATTTTTGTTGAATATATATATATATATATATATATATATATATATTTTAATTTCTATGATTTAAACTTTTCCTTTTTAACGTTTATTTCATGTTGTGTAAAAAGTAACTTGTTTGTTAAAAAATTATTATATCCTATTTTCCATCCTCAATCCTTTTCACTGCAACCCGACTTCCTTATATCTCGGTTATGTTTAATATCCTTAATCCTATCATATCAATGCACAATCCATTATTGCCCACTACGATGAATTCAAGAAATATTTCCTCAATAATATTTATTACATAATAGTAATATCTGAAAACTGGCTAAAACCTCCTGTCTTACCCTCCCAAATTTTCCTCTACAATTACTCATTCCTATATAATGACAGATCTGAGGATAGGACAGATAGGAGAGGGTGTCAGAACATAAATACATGATAAGTCTTAAGGCCTCTTACATTCATCATCCTTTTACATTTTCCCATTCATTGAATATTTGTTTGTTGAAATTTCTTGCTTTTTCTCTTTTTATTATATGTTGTAGTTTACCACACTCCTTGTGTTCCATTAGATCATCTCTTTGAATCCTGCCTTGTCAATCTGGTTTCCAAATACTATAAAACTTCAAAAATAAACCTAATCCGCAGTCCCACTTGCTAAATTCATCGACTTCCATAATGCTCCTTTCAATACTCCTGATTCTAAATCCAAATGAAAAATACTTCATAATCTATCCTTACCAGCATCCAATAATCCCGATTCCCTCCCTGTGATTCCAGATTATCTCAATGACCACTTCTAATCCTCCTCCTTCTTAAGATATTGAATACCACAATTTCAATCCAGAAGACTTCTTTTTCTCCAATGTGCCCTATAATTAACTAGTTTCTACTATTCTAAAACCCCAAATCAATAATTATGGTCTTGATAATATTCCAGTAAAACTAATACAACCGAGGCATATTCCTTCCTTATTACCGTACTTACCATATCTACAACTTTTTATTGAAAAACACCATATTTCCATAAGGCAACCTGCCCTGATATGACCTTCAAATAAAACTTCAAACCCTCACTGCATGTCTTTGATCCTATTCTTCTACTTTCCAACCTTTCAAAACCGCTGGAACGCCTTGTCCAAAATCAACTTTCCTACTTCCTAAAGGACTATTTCCGAATCAAATATTTCCGATCTGGTCTTCGAACCGACTACTAAATGCAATATGCCCTTCTAAAAATTACCTCCAAAACTCCATTGAACACCAAAAACTTACTATCATCCTTAGCCACAAGGTGGCTTCAACAAAAATATAATTAAAGTTATTCAGAAATGGTGGCATGACTCAGTTCACAAGTAAACCGTTTCAGAAAAACAGAAAATTTGAATATCCGCTACTCTTGGAATGAAGGAAATGATCTTATTTCCTTACAGATCGAATGTATCATAGAATTAATGCTGTTTAAGTTCCAAAACACTATATTTAGATATCTTTGTAGGTTTTCAGAGGAAAATCTGACTGTCATTTTCTTTTATTGTTTACCAGGTGTTGTGATTACAGGTTGCATGTTTGGCTAAAAAATTTCTTATTGTAATTGAGTAGAGGAATCTGTTTCAACATCATCGAAATCGTTTCCTGAACTTTCAAGGTCAGTGTTAAGCTGTGAAGTGTTATTATATAATGATAACAGTTCGTTGTTCTCTCTTACAAGCCTGGATCTGTTTTCTGCATTCTTTTTAACATAAATAGAACCATTTCTTATCCATGTTTGTATTATTTTGTCCTCCCATTTTAATTTTCTGACAAAACAATTATTTGCATTTATAATTAACAAGATCATTCTCAGTGCATGTAGATAGCAACTTTTTTTATTATCCAACAAAAAGTAATTCAAAACCTCCATTCTTAATATAGCTTATAAAATTTTTCAAAATATAAAAAAAAAATTCATAAAGCAGTGTATATCAAAACGTTTATACAAAAATGGAACCTGTTCAAATTAATGCATTACCACATATGGTGTGTTGCAGTCCAAAAGTATGCTGTCAAAACTATCACCAAATAAATAGTAATAAAACATCTGTATAAATGGTAATAAAAAACCTGTACTATTACAACCCATAAAGGGTCTAGGGTTTAGTAATATTAAGGGAAAGTAATGTTTCATGGTCAACGGTTGTGCAAGGAGGTAATTTGACCGAGACCAGGCTCAACCACCAGGTTTTCCCCCTTAATCAATTATTTAATTAAGGGTACCCACTTTGTAGAAGCTGGGTGTGCCATAGGAGGGTCTCAAACTCTAGGGTCAATCAACCGCTGATGAAACAGAATAAATAATTTATCTACCATAGACCGGGATTCGAATAAAGAGTAATAACTCCGAAAAAATTCAAATCCTCGCAAATTTTTAATCTATTAAAATAAAATCATGATTAAAACTAACCCAAGAAATGCTTATAACAATTAATTAATGCAAATTAAACCTAAATAAATGTTAATTTCTTCAATTTCAATGCGAGTTCTCAACTTCGAGTAATCCAAGATGATAAAACAATAATAATAAATAATAGCAAGTTTTAATATAAGTAACAATTTATAAGGTGTGAGATATAGCTGACTTACTGCACTGGTTTTATTTAGTTTTAAAATATTCAAAACCACACGTCAATAACTGGAAATCTTATTATTCCAATTGGTACCATAATCATCATATATTTATAAAAATTGTTCAATAATGAAAAAGTAATAATCAACTAAAACAAATTAGCATACCAACATATGAATGAATAAAATTAAATAATAAATAATAATAATGAGTAGGATTTAACTAGATCCAAGCACAAAAAACAATAATTCCACATACCAAAATCAAATTGAAATTTTAAGAAGAAATGACTCTTTACAGCTATTTAAAAAATATATTATAAAGATATACAAAATTAAAAATACACTTATGCCTAATTAGTTATGTATTTCTTAATTAAGAATACATGTTTGGTGAAATTAATGTCAGAGACAAACAATACTAAGTAGGCGGACATTGTCAAAAGTAAACAAATATCAAAAATTAAATTAAAAAAAAAAAGCAACTGCAACCAAGAAAAGTTATATGTATATAAGAAAATTAAAATCAATTTATGACCTATAAAACATTATGAAAATTTGTCAATGAAAGAACTCAAAACATACAAATGCTTTAAAGAATTTTAAGCTTACAAATGAATAGAGCTTATAATTAGGAAAAGTAACATTTTACTATCTGATGATTCTATGCCTAAAAAGAAGAATTAAATAATAAGATTTATTCTATAATATTTAATAAACACACCAGTTAAAAAATTTGAATCCAACGGGAGAACTTAGCTAAATTTCAGTGAATAAAACTAAATAACAGTAGTAACTCTTTAAAAGCTGTAGCTTCATAAACATTGATAATATAGTTCCTCTAATATTGTTCTTTACATATATTCATGAAAGATATAAAAATATTTACTGATATACACTACTAATAAGTAGTATTTGTCATCATTTATGTCAATTTCTCGTAAAAACATGCAGAAGGGTATTGACAACATACATATATAATAACAGAAACATAAATATTCAATATCTGTTTTGAACAAAAACTACATCTAATTATAAGAGTTAAATAAATGCTTATAGATTCTATAAATTCCTTTATTATTGAACATGAGATTAACATTTACATGCCAATTTGAACTTAATATCCCAATCAATGAGGACGGATATTATAATTTAGAGATGAAGATCCTAAATGTGCAGCTGATTATAGTAATATAAACAAAAATACTTTCAATGACACAAATGATAGAACCATGTAATGTCACAAGAGGAACGAAATAAAATTAGAGAACTAAAAGTTTACTTGAAACAAATAATCCAATTATACACCTTTAAAACGAGAACTTAAAAAAAATAAGAAGAAAACAAACTTACTCTATTTGTAGCGTCAGACACCTCACGCATAATTTTTTCGAATTCGGCTGTTTCTTCTGCTTGCTTCTGATGGTGCAACGCAATTTTTTCACTGAACTTCCTAGGATTAGCCATAATGAGTAAATAATTTAAAAAAACATGGAAATCAAATTTAACTACACTATTATTCTCCTTTGACAGAGTCCAGATTAGTATTATCGGAGTCTGCTGAGTTAAGAATCGATTTCAACAAGGTTCTAAGAGATAATAACGTAAGAAAGAAAAAAGTAGTAACAATTTGATTCGATGGAGAGCTTTTAAATGTTAAGGCACGCCCACTTCATCAGATTTGTATATTATATATATATATATATATATATATATATATATATATATATATATATATATATATATTAGGTATATTTGGTTCTATAGAGGTCGGTTACCACTGTGGGAGAAAAAATGTTGAGGTATTTGGGAAGCGGACACCATAAAACTGTTTAATTATCTAATTAATTTTTTTAAATAAGTGATATTTTACTTTTCCTATTTAGGGGGTGGTGTGATTTTGTCCTCGTCATGCCCCTGGATAACCAACCAAACGATCACATAGTCGCCAGACGCCCAATGTCACCAATAGCGAATCATGGCGCGGCCAGCACAAAGCCTGGCCAACGCAAACGGCCTTTCTCAAGGCCATGACAACTTTATCTTAAAGACTCTTTTGTGGAATGCAGGTGGTCTCATCAGTGAAAAGTACACAGAATTGAAGCATTTTATATCCTCAAACAAAATTGGTCTATTTTGCATTGTCGAGGCAGGCGCTGCTAATGATTGTCTTGAATACTTCAGGTATCCAGATTTTCAAATTTACTCACTGCCAAGAGCTAGGCAGATAGCATCAGGAATACTTGTTGGTGTAAGGTCTTCCTTCACGATCAAGTTTCAAGTTAAAAAGGAAATGGATGCAAATGATAAATTCGAAGGAGTGGAAATCAATCTGTGGTCAAGCAATTTTCACCAGCAAATATTTATCATCTATAACCCCCCTAATAATAAACCGAATTTGGGTTGGCTGGAGAACTCTTTGACTGACAAATCCCTTGTGTATGAAGACTTCAACGCACACTCCAGGCGCTGGGGTTACACAAACTCAAATTCAGCGGGGAAAACTCTGGAGGAATTTATCGATACAAATATGATTGGATTTGTGGAAAACGAAAATTCAAAGCCCACTTTTATGGACTACAAAGGTAATAGTTCCCACCCTGACCTATTATTGGTGCACCCACGAATAGCTCCGCTGATCTCTCACACAGTTGCCTCTCCACCTGGAGCATTTGGTCACAGGATAATGCTTGCCTATTTTAATGGCAACTTAAAGCCTCATAATGATTCATTGCCTCGAATACTCCGATGGAATTTGAAAAAAGCCAATTGGAATAAATTCTCTCAGCTCACTCACACAGCCATTACGGATGAAACCATTACGGAAAATGTAGATATAAGCTGCGCCCGACTTCAAGCGGCAATTCTCGAGTTTGCAAAGTAGTCCATTCCTCGGGGATTTATGAAAAGATACTCCCTATTCTGGAGTGACAAACTACAGAAACCAAAACATAGTAGAGATGCAGCAAGAAAAGATGTAGAAATGTCAAAGAAACCGGAAGATACAGTAAGGCTAAAACAACTTACAGCAACCCTTAAGTACAATATAATTCAAGCCAAAAGAAAAGCTTTCAGAGAATATTTGGCTAGTCTGGACTTTCGAAGAGATGGAGTAAAAGCACATAGATTCATCTCAAAGCTAAATGGCGGCAAAGACCCAAGGAACAACCCTCTGAAGTTCAATAACAAAGAGATATATATCGGACTTGCCATAGCAAGAAACTTTTGTAAATTCTTTGCAAGTCCTCTAACTATAAGCCTGCAGTAGAAAATAAGAAAATTAATACCAAACCACCAATCCTATGTCTGAATTCCTCTGAAACCCAACTCTTTGAAGACGACTTCAGTAAGGAAGAGCTTGAACTTGCACTCGCACAAACAAAGAACAGAAAAAGCGGTGGCCCTGATGACATATTACCAGAGTTTCTTATTCACCTGGATACAAAAGTCAAGCTCATTGTGCTAGATTTTCTCAATGCTGTGTAGAGGTCGAAATATCCTAGTGCTTGGAGGAAGGCTGAGGTTGTCCCAATTTTCAAGAAAGGTAAATGTTCCTCTCACCCATCTAACTACCGACCTATATCGCTCACAATGTTTTTTTCTAAGCTCTATGAGAGAATGGTCCTAGCCCGGTTGCAGATATATCTGGATAGTCAAAACAAAAAAACCAGATGTCATCAAAGCAAGCAGGTTTCCGGAAGCACCGATGTACAACTGAGCAGGTGGCTCGTTTTAGTGAGGATGTAAAAGACGGATTCCAACGCAAACAACATACTCTTGCAGTATATGTTGATTTTAAACCTGCTGTTGACAGAGTCTTCTGAATAAACTCCTCAAAATGAACATCAGTGGAAACGTTCCTTCTTGGCCCAGAGGTTTCTCGGAGTAAGATACAATGGCTGGTATTCAGGCTTCAGAACTTTTAGTCAGGGAGTTCCACAAGGATCTGTTTTAAGCTCCACACTCTTTAATATAATGATTGATGACTTAGTGGCTGTACTCGAGGGAATACCCAGAATATCTGCTCTACTGTTCGCTGATGATCTACTAGTATATGCAACTAGTAGCAACATAACAGCACTCGAAGCAGCAATTAATGAGGCAATGGCAAGACTTTTTACCTGGGTCAAGTGTAATGAAATGGAAGTAAATACGCAGAAAACTGAATTCCAACTGTTCACCTTATCAACCAAAGAATCCAAGCTGGAAATCATCTACAATAATGTTCCTTTTCCAAGAACCTATGCAGGAAAATATCTGGGAGTTAGGTTAGATACAAAAATGATCTGGAACAGACAAATTGAAGAGATGGTGGAAAAGGGGTAAAACAGGCTAAAACTTCTGAAACGCCTTGGGGAAAGACATGGGGGGCCACCCAGGATGTGATGGGTCTTGCATATAAAACCTATGTACGCCCAGTACTGGAATACGGTTCTGAAGTCATCTGTACTGCGGCAGATGTATCCCTGAAAACATTAGACGACCAGCAGAACAAAGCTCTGCGTTTGATTTTGAGTGCACGGCGCTCAACCCCTGTTGTAGCTATGGAACTGCAGACCACAGTAGAACCTCTATCGAAACGGTGTGAGCGAGCTGCAATGTGCCTTCACGAGCTAATGAAAAGAATAGACCAAGAGTTTTGGAAAAATTACGAAATCCTCTCTCAACGGCTCAAGACACAAAAATCCTTCATGCTGAAGGCGATGGCACTACTTGAAGAAAGAGGGCTTGACTGCGAAGAAAGGGAACCATTTATACATCCACAGTTACCAATTCACAATCACGCATGCAATGCAGACCTCCTTCATAAGTTGGATAAGAAATAAATACCTGAATACAAGCTAAAAGCATTAGCATTAGAAACTATAGATCAAAAGTAACCTCCTCAAAAATCCATATCTATACCGACGTTAAAAATGCTGGAGCAGGGGTTTACTCAAGGGAATTCCAAATCAGCGCTGCGGTGGGTAAAGATGGAACAAATTTTGACGGTGAGATAGCGGCGATCCTCATAGCCTTAAGAACATCGTCTATAAGACGGCATCAGAGCGCTGTTTTCTTCATCGACTCCCAAGCAGCCATCCTCGCTGTTACAAGCACGAATGAATGCATATCGAGTTCTATATTGGAATCCCTCCTTTCTAACCTGACACACCGAGGCACCAATGTGGTTCTACAGTGGATCCCCAGCCATTGTGGGATTCCGGGAAACGTTGAGGCCGATATTCTTGCCAAGCGAGGAACAGATTTGCCTCAGCCGATACATCCAAAACCCAACGACTCAATACAGCGAATGATAAAGATGGTAGTGAAGAAAGAAATAAGAAAAGCACATTTAGACAAAGTGGAAGGGAAACGTTATGAGTTGTTGAAGGGTAATCCGATTCCATCTGAGCTGCCGAGAAGAGATGCAGTTGCCTGCTTCCGCCTGGCCACTGGTCCCGACTATCTGCAGAGTCATCTCTACAAGATAGGCGTGGCTGAGGATCCTACCTGTAAATTGTGTCATCAAGGAACAATGGATGCAGACCATCTAGACGTATGTCCTGCCTTGAGGGACATAAGAGAAAAAATATTTTCAAATATATATATCAGAAAGTCTAAATTATACTGGGCAGCAAGATGTCGGATGGCCAAATGACCAACGACTGGCAGAAGAGAAAAAAAAAAACTTTTCCTATTTAGATTTTTTAGATATTTTTCGTTTTCGTTTTTATTGTTCTTTTAAATTGATCGTTTGGACATCTTGTAAATGTCATTGGCTTTAGAATCGAAACCGCCTTGACATTCAGAATTTAATAATAAATGTCTAGTGTATGAAAGGGAGAATATAAAATGAAAAAAGTATAGCGCATGATAAAGTACTATACATATTTAGATCATTTGATATGATAAATAATTTAGAAAAAGGATTTGAAAGAAGAACAATATTGACAAAACTTCACATTAGAAGACAGTTACTAGAATTAAAACAGATATACAGCAACATTTTTGTATTTTTGATAAACTTTAAAATGAATTAGAGTCTACTGATACAAAAATGGATGAAGATGATCAGATTTGTCATTTGTTACTTACTATTTCAAAACAATATAAAACTGTAATAACTGTTTTAGAAATAAATGATGATTTAACAATAGATTTTGTAAAAATCAAGCTGTTTGATGCTGGTAAGGCAACTTTCTAATTTAATTAAAAAAGGCAAAATAACTCTTATGAGTTCTATCCAGGCAATCTTCGACATCATTTTGGCATTGGACTGTATTTCGATTGAAAATGGTAGGTTATATTTATTATGAAAAATAATTATATGTTGGCATATAAAAGTTACTTGGTTTTTCAAGTTAAAAGGGCGCCCTTCTCTGGTCTGGCTTCTGTCTGGTCTGAGTGGCTGACCTGAGAAGCAGAAATGGACAAATGCCAAAGTGAATACTGAGTCCCGAGTATTTCATTCAAATAGTTGACCTGCGCCATGGTGAGTACTTTACTCACGGCTAATCATAAATTATAGTTTTAAGTACCATATTGATAAATATATAAATTATATTAATAGA